AAGTACGCAATAGGAGTATGGTGTTGGCCTCTCTGCGCTGTGAGACAGTTGGGCCATAGCTCAGGCACTGGGCAGGCGTAGGGCTTGGGTGTCTGCATGTCTTCAGGGGCTGTTGACAAACCAGAGTGCCTCTGCAGGAGAGCAGTGGGGACAGAGAGACAAATCTGGAAACAATCAAATAAAGAGCAATTGAAGGAACTGTGTGGCCTGGAGACTGTAAGTCTAGGTGGGGGTGGGGAGACAAGAGGCCATTTTCAAATATTTGAAGTGCTGTCAGGTGGAAGAGAGATTAGAATTGTGCTGTGCCACTCCAGAGGGTGAACATGGGGCCAGTGAGTACAGGTTCCAGGGGCAGAGTGTCAGCTGGAAAAAAGGAAGCCTTTTATAATCACTAAAGATGTTCAAAGCAGATTGTGGTACCTAATGACGTAGGAAGCATCTGTGCAAAGACTAGATAAACATCTCATAAGCATATTGGAGGAAAAATTTTTGCTTTTTTTTTTTTTGGTCTCACTAATCAAATGAAACTTTTTAAAGTGAGATGACCTAGCAGGAGTATTTTTTCTTCCTGGTGCTCAGGAAAGGCAGGTTTTGCAGTCTTGACCACTAGAGGGAGTGAGGACTGCAGCATTGCAAGGCCACCATGCCTTCTCTACAGCCTAATAGCGACTGATACCCAGTCCTGGCCCTTGTCTCCTTAAATCTACTGCTTTCTTTTCTTTTTTTTTTTTTTTTTTGAGACAGAGCCTCAAGCTGTCCCCCTGGGTAGAGTGCCGTGGCATTACAGCTCACAGCAACCTCCAACTCCTGGGCTCAAGCGAGTCTCCTGCCTCCGCCTCCCAAGTAGCTGGGACCACAGGCGCCTGCCACAACGCCCGGCCATTTTTTGGTTGCAGCCGTCATTGTTGTTTGGCGGGTCCGGGCTGGGGATTCGAACCCGCCACCTTAGGTGTACGTGGCTGGCGCCCTAGCCGATTGAGCCACAGGCGCCGAGCCAATTCTGCTGCTTTCAACATCTCTGCTGTCAATCTTTCTAGAATGCTTACATCTTATTAAATTCTTCAAAGTCTGAGAGGCCTCTGTATCATAGGGAGGCATAATCACTATTATTTGTAATCTGTTCAATTTATTAATTATATAGACTAAGCAGTAATTCCTCTAAAAATTCAAATGCTCTTTAAACAACTAAAGAAATGAAAGCTTATGAATTTAACAAACATAACATTTTCCAAAAGGTAAATATTAACTTATAAGTTGATTGAATTCTCCTAAATGTATACATTTAAAAACTACATATTGTACATAATATATATATATATATACTCTCCTAAAATCACAAATATCCTCTGTCACCCTTGGTAGAGTGCCATGGTGTTATGGCTCATACCAACCTGCAACTCTTAGGCTAAAGTGATTCTCTTGCCTCAGCCTCCCAAGTAGCTGGGACTACCGGCACCCACCACAACACCCAGCTATTTTTAGAGATGAGATCTCTATCTGGCTCAGGCTGTTCTCAAACTTGTGAGCTCAGGCAATCCACCTCCCTGGTTCTCCCAGAGTGCTAGGATTACAAGCATGAGCCACTGCGCCTGGCCCTCCTATATCTGAATCTTTTAAATGCTGCAAATAAATATCTTGAAAACATAAACACACAAATGAATCATCACAATGATAAATATATGAAGTAAGTGATGTATTCAGCTATATAGCTAAGGAGATTTCCAAAGTATTGAAGTTACCACCTAGTTTTTTCTTGTTGGTTATAGTTAAATGCAAGAGAAGGGAAATAAATTGAAGGAAGACCTGCCAAACCGTCAAGGAATCAGTACTTGATGATTTTGAAAATGCTCTCTCCAGATGGCAAAATTAAGAAACTAATTTTGATCATGTGGTGTAGAAATAAGTCCTGACCTAGAGAAAGAGCCAAGCAGTGATTGTACAAACTTTTGTTAAAACTTCAGCAAGATTGGCTCGGCGCCTGTGGCTCAAGCGGCTAAGGCGCCAGCCACATACACCTAAGGTGGCGGGTTCAAATCCCCAGCCTGGACCCGCCAAACAGCAATGATGGCTGTAACCAAAAAACGGCCAGGCGTTGTGGCGGGCGCCTGTAGTCCCAGCTGCTTGGGAGACTGAGGCAGGAGACTCGCTTGAGTCCAGGAGTTGGAGGTTGCTGTGAGCGTGATGCCATGGCACTCTACCCAGGGGGATAGCTTGAGGCTCCGTCTCAAAAAAAAAAAAAAATTCGACAAGATCAAAGGATCAGAGTAGTATTCAGTCACAAAGGACCATCTACAAAGATTAGGGTGTATTTCACAGAACCTCTCGAGAAATAGGGCCTTTTAGAAATATAATTGAGTAGTCCTACCCTATCTTAGCAGGAACCCAAGGTAGATGAGGGTCTATTTCAAAAAGAACTATGGATGAACTTTTGTGTAAAGCAACACTGGAGATCTACAAAGTATTTTAGAAAATTATTTTAGCAAAAACAGAACTTAAATTGAAAAGGACAGGAAAACTACAGAATGAAAGGAGGCTATTAGATCTCCAAAATTCTACTGGCAGGAAACAGGATGATAAAACTACTCAGCTGCAAATACATTTTACCTTTCATGAAAAAAGGAGAGAGAACTCAGCGGGCAGGACCAACAGCTATGGGGAATTATTCTTAGCCCTTGAAATCTAATCAAGGAATTCTGGCTGAAGTTTGCTAGGCTGTATTTCAAAACTACTTTGGACCAGGTGCGGTGGGTCCCGCCTGTAATCTTAGCACTCTGGGAGGCCAAGGCTGCTAGATTGCTTGAGTTCAGGAGTTTGAGACCAGCCTGAACAAGATCCAAGACCTCTTCTCTACTAAAAATAGAAAAACTAGTCAAGCACTGTGGCAGGTGCCTGTAGTCCCAGCTACTTGGGAGGCTGAGGCAAGAGGATCACTTGTGCTCAAGAGTTTAAGGTTACTGTGAGCTATGATGCTATAGCACTCTAACCTGGGTAACAGAGTAAGACTCTGTCTCAAAACAAAAACAAAAACAAAACCCCAAACCCACAAAACTACTTTGGATTGGTAACTCCTTTTTACCCTCTATTGCCTACCCTTTCTCTCCTTTTTAAATGGGAGTATCTATAACTATTTTACTAGACTAGTTTCTTTATTGTGTTAGGAGTTATATAACTTGTCTTTAGTTATGCAGATTGAGAAAAGCCCCATCTATACCTGGACCTAATTTAAATAATGAAATCCTGGACTTTAAGCAGATGCAGTAATGATGTGAGGTTCAATGATATGAGGTGGCACCCTGGGAGGTAGTAATGTATTGTGCATGGGGGAGGGACACAAATCATTGAGTGCCAGAGATGAACTGTGATGGGCAGATTCCAGAGCATCCCCTGTGATCCCCATATCTTGGTTTCACCCTTGTGTGATCTCCCCTTGAATGTGGCTAGGACCTGTGCCTGGCCTCTAACTAGAAGGATATAATAGCAGAAGTGATGGTATATGTGTAATTATTAATACACAATTATATTATAGAAGATTATAATTCATCTTTCCAGGAGACTCTGTGTTGCTGGCTTTGTAGGAGCAAGTTGCCACATTTTTTTTCTTTTTTTCTTTTTTTTTGAGACAGAGCCTCAAGCTGTCCCCCTGGGTAGAGTGCCCTGGCGTCATAGCTCACAGCAACCTCCAACTCCTGGGCTCAAGTGAGTCTCCTGCCTCAGCCTCCCAAGTAGCCGGGACTACAGGTGCCCACCACAGCACCCAGCCATTTTTTGGTTGCAGCCATCATTGTTGTTTGGTGGGCCCGGGCTGGATTTGAACCTGTCACCTTAGGTGTATGTGGCTGGCACCTTAGCCACTTGAGCCACAGGCGCCGAGCCGAGTTGCCACATTTTGAGCTATGAAGAACACCATATAGTGAGGGCTGCAGGCAGTCTTCAGCTAATGGACAGCAAGAAAATGAGGTCCTCAGCCTGATCCTGCAAGAAACTGAATGCTTTAACAGCCACATGAGCTTGGACACAGGTCCGACTTCAGTCAAACCTCTGAAGTCTACAGGCAGGAAGGGAAGGGCACAATCAGGCTAGTATCCCAGGAATATGAGCCAGAACCCCACAGATATGGATAGAATCCCATGTTTGTTCTTACTGCCTTTGATCTTGTTGATAGAGGTATCCCACAGAAGTTGGGGTCCTTCCTTATGGAGCTAAATGCAAATACCTGGCCAAGAAGTCAGAAAAATTAGAAGAGAATCCAGAGAAATAGAGAATTGCAAGCCCAGACACTGCCTCACACCAAAAAGGTGAGTTAGCAGATCAGCAAAATGTGCCAGCTGCAGAATGGTACCAAAACATGACATCACGTAAATTTATGTAGTCAAATACAGTAGAACTTCCATAGTTGACCACCTGCCTACATTGCAGGTTCACCTAATTTTCACAGTCCAGGTATGTACCACATATACTCAGTGGAAGACTGACCTCTATACACTGAGCACCTCTGTAAGTTGTATCTTGACCACGTGGACTGTGACACACAATATTAATTTACCCTTTGTAACATGACCAGTTGAGTCCACTCTACACCAAGGGGTAGAAGGTGTAGGCCTTGCCCCTTAGTCATATTATTTTTTTCTTTAGTATAAGTTCTTTTTTCATGTTTTGTTATTACCACGTGTTGGATTAGGCCCAACATCTTATTGTTTATCATGTGTTGTGGATGATTTTTTCAAGGTGAAAGACGTGCTCTGAATTGTAGGTACATCCTGCAATTACTGAAAAATGTGACAGTTGATCAAGACATGCTGGCCCAAAGGAAAGAACTCAAAGAGCTGACATTGAAGGAAAAGATTGATCTTCTGCATTTTTTGGAAAACAGCAGCCAGAGAAAGACAGCAGAATGTTTTGGTGCTGACAAGACCACACTTAGCAACACCTAAAAACATAACATGAGTACTTAGAGAGAGATGGTAAGGGAAGCAGAGACCTAGAGAGGAAAAGGAGGAAAGGTCCTCGCGTCGGCAGCACCTATACTAAAATTGGGACGATACAGAGAAGGTTAGCATGGCCCAGAAAGGAGGAAAACTTCCCTCAGTGAAGTCAGTGAAGCCACATTTAGCTGGTTTAAACAAATGAGGGCAGTTAACGCCCAAATCTCCCAGCCAGTGATCCAAGAAGTTGCTAAAAAATTTGCACAGGAGTTCAGGGTGGCAGATTTCTGAGCACCCAGTGGTTGGCTTGAGAAATTTAAACTGTGACATGAGATCTCCCAGAAAGTCTTGTGTGGTGAATCCAATGAAGTCCTAGAAGAAGCTGTGGAAGAGGTCACCAAAATGGACTTTGTCAGAGGCTTCAAAGATGACGCCAGCTTTAATGCTGATGAGTGCAGACCTTTTTCTTTTTTTTTTTTTTTTTTAAGTTTTGGTTTCCTCAGGGCAGCTCACTTTATTTTTTTTTTTAATTTTTAATTTTTTTTTTTGCAGTTTTTTGGCCAGGGCTGGGTTTGAACCCGCCATCTCTGGCATATGGGGCTGCTGCCCTACTCCTTTGAGCCACAGGCGCTGCCCTACTCCTTTGAGCCACAGGCGCTGCCCAAGACCTTTTTCAAGGCGATGCCTGACAGGAGCCTCACTGTGAAGGCTGACAAATGTAAGAGCAGAAAACTTTCCAAAGAACATTTCACAGTTCTGCTTGGCACTAGCACAACTGTAGAGAAACTAAAGCCCTTGGCGATTGGTAAATCAGTAAAGCCGGGCACACTCAAGAACCTCAAACCTGAAGACCTCCCTGTCGCTTGGAGATCATACAACGTGCACGGATGACTGGTGCCCTATTTGAGGAGTGGGTAAGGGGTATAGACCAAGAAATGAAGAAGAAACGGTCAATGCTATTGGACAGTAGACAACTGTCCTGGCCACCCACAAGTGAATCATCTCACAAATGTAACACTGAAATTTCTAAACATGACCTCAAAAATCCAACCTCTTAGGTTGGCACCCTGTAGAACAGTGGTTACAGTGCCAGCCACATGTACCAAGCGTGGCAGGTTGGCAGGTTTAGTCCAGGTCAGCTAAACAATGACAACTGCAACAACAACAACAAATAGCTGGGCGTTGTGGCAGGCACCTGTAGTCTCAGCTACTTGGGAGGCTGAGGCAGGAGAATTGCCTAAGCCCAAGAGTTTGAGGTTGCTATGAGCTGTGATGCCACAACACTCTACCAAGAGTGACATAGTGAGACTCTGTCTCAAAAAAAAAAAAAATCCAACCTCTTGACCAAGGCATCATCAGACCATTTAAAATGTACTACTGAGCCCAGCTCCTGCAGTGGGTTGTACCAAAGCATAAACCTGTGGTCCGCCTGTGGAAGCAACTTCACACATTACATTAGTCAGTACTCTGGATTCTGTCCTCTAGATCAGGTCTGCGTGGAATAAAGTTCAGCCAGAAATGATACAGAAGTGTTTCAAGAAAGTTGGATTTATCACAACTCAAGGGCATGATATTTTGGCCCTATCAGACACTCCATCTCCCATAGCAGAATTCAAAGGAGTAGATTTTGAAGGTTTCGTTATAATGGACAATTAAGTGGCAACCTGTAATGAACCTGACCCAGAAGCAATTTTCCAAGCAATATTGACCAAAGTACAGAATTGCATAAAACCGCATGAAGGAGCTGATGAAGTGGAAGAAGCAAGTGAAGGTGACAAAAATTTCAGAGACTCCAAAAGAAGAGGATGTCAGGCATCTGATGATGCAGTTGGAGTCATTTGCTGTGGAAAAATGCCCCGCTATGCTAAGTGGTGTAGCCAGTGTTGAGAGTGCTTTCTCTCCACTTATATTTGTAATAGGAATGAGAAAACAGATCAAGATTGATTCTTTTTTTTTTCAGAAAGAATGATTAAACCATGAGAAAACAGTAAATATTGATTTTGTATGATCTTATATATATGATTTTACTGTTTTGATTATGTATGATTTCATATATTTTTAATAAAAGCTGTACAAGAAAATAAAGTATATGTACGTTTCAGTAAAGTATATGTACAGTAGGCCTTGTTCTTTATGTTGACCACCTCCGTATGTTGACCAGTCTGTTACAGTGGTCAACAGAGGTTGGTCCTGTGGGTGGTCAACAGAGGTTCTACTGTATTTAAAAACTACTAACAAACTTGGTACAATTGTCTTAAACACTTAACCTTAGGTCACAAGTCAAATTTGCACTCTCAGAAGTTCGCTCTGACTGCTCTTACGTGGTTATAGTACATTGTGTTAATTCTTCCATTAGTTAATGGAAAATTGAGTCATTTCCAGTGTTTGATTGTTACAACTAATGCTGCTATTAACATTCGTGTACTGTCTTTGTGTGGATATGTTTTTATTTTCCTTGGGTGGATTGCTATGAGTGGAATCACTAGCTTGTATGGCAAATGTATGTTTAACTTTTTAAGAAATTGTCAAACTGTTTTCCATGTGAACATACCATTTTATATTCCTATAGGAATATAACATAGGAAGGTACTAGTTTCTCCATATCCTTACCAGCAACACTTGGTATTGTCTCTCTTTCACGTCATAACTTTTCCAGTGGGTTTGTATCTCATTGTGCTCTTAATTTGTATTTCCCTATTGACTAATGATGGTGTCCATTTTTCCATATGCTTTTTAGTCATTTGTGTTCCTTCTTTAGTAAAATGTCTATTCAGATTTTTGCCCTTTTAAAAATTGAGTTGTTTTTCTTATTATTCAGTAGCAAGGGTTCTTTTCTTATTCTGTAGAGAAACTCTTTATCAATCTATGATTTTGAATTTTTTTCTCCCAACTTGTAGCTTGTTTTTAATTTTTTCCTTAAAGTGCAAAAGTGTAATTTTGATGAAGCCAAATTTATCATGTATTTTCCCACTGAGTCTCATGATTTTGGTGTCTTATCTAAAATATTCTTTGCCCAACCTGAAGTTACCAAGATTTTTCTCCTATCTTTTTTTTTGCCAGAAGTTGTTGTTGTTTTGGGTTTTTCTTATTTTAATTTTTTTCTTTCAGAAGTTTTGTGGTTTTAGCTCTTATATTTAGGGCTGCAATCCATTTTTTTTTTAAATATCATGTGGGTTAAGAGCCTAGGTTTCATATTTATTGCAAGTGGATATGGAATAGTTCCAGCATCTTGGTGAACAAAAGACTATCTTTTCCTCATTGAATTATCTTGGTACCTTTGTCAAAAATCAATTCACTGAAAATGCAAGGGTTTATATCTGAGCTCTCTTTTCCATTCATCTATATGTCTATCCTTGCACCAAGATCACACTCTATTGATTCATGTGACTTTATAGTAAACTTTGAAATTGGGTGTATAAGTCTTTCAATTTCATTCTTTTTTTTCAAAGTTGTTTTGACTATCCTCTGCATTTCCATCTAAATTTTAGGATCTATTTTTACCAAAAAAAAAAAAAAAAAGCCTGCTAGAATTTTGATTGGAATTCTGTTGAATCTATAGATCCATTTGGGAAGAATTGCTGTGTTAACAATTTTGACTCTTCTCATCCAGGAGTAGGGAATGTCTCAATTTATTTGGCTCTTTATGAATTTTTCTTAGTAATGTTTTATAATTTTTAGAGTGTGTCTTATACTTTCATTAAATTTATTCCTAAGTATTTTTTTTTCACTAATTTTAGTGCTTTGTAAGTTGAATTTTTTTTTCAATTTTATTTTTGAGTTTGTCATTGCTAGTATGTGGAGATAAAATAGATTTTTAAAATATTGATCTGAAGCATTGCAGCCTTGCTAAATTCTTTTATTAGTTCTAGATCTTTTGTGTGTGGTTTCCCTGGTATTTTCCAAGCATAGGATGAAGCTGTCTGCAAATACAAACACTTTTAATTCTTCCTTTACCCTTAGTCTGCTTTTAACGAATGATTATATCTTCTGTTCTACACTGATTAGACTCTCACTTGCGTCACTGGGTTTATTCTGGCCATCACATGTTCCTTGGGGAAATGAAACAAATTTTTTTTCTTTTTTTTTGAGACAGAGCCTCAAGCTGTCACCCTGGATAGAGTGCTGTGGCATCACAGCTCACAGCAACCTCCAACTCCTGGGCTTACGCGATTCTCTTGCCTCGGCCTCCCAAGTAGCTGGGACTACAGGCACCCGCCACAACGCCCAGCTATTTTTTGGTTGTAGTTGTCATTGTTGTTTGGCGGGCCTGGACTGGATTGGAACTGCCAGCTCTGGTATATGTGGCTGACACCTTAGCTGCTTGAGCTACAGGTGCCGAGCCAAACAAATTTTATTTTAGAGCATATATATTTTTTACTGTTGGGGGAAACAAATTAAAAAGATAAAATAAAAACCGTAATCGTGCAGCTAGACACAACATTTATGAGCGTGCAGGTGGACTCTTCCAGACGTCTTTGCTAGAGGCAGCAGAGTGGAGCTTATCATGACGCACTGAGGCTCATCCGGTGGGGTCAAGGTGGACCATCGCCATGCACATGGCTAAGGCCCTCTAAGCTCACATCACAGTAGGTCCCTATTGTGCTTTCTAGGAGTCCGGAAAGCCTGCTCAGCCTCATGTAGGCATGACCCATAACTTCAAGGCAGTTAACACTCCTCAGCTAGTGCAAGCCCTCCATGCAGGGAGCAAGATTTCAGAGATAAATGCCCCAGCCTCCTCCCTCCCCTGCAGGACATAGAATGCGGGACAGTTCCAAGGTATTTTCAACATAGCTCCTCAGTGCCCCTGTGGGTTCAAACCCTAGTTACCCACAGCCCCAACTCCCCAATTCCCTTCCCCCTTTCCTTCACTTCTGTTTCCTGAGATCACTTGCCCCCAAATTATCTACACTCAAGTCTTTGTCTTAGAGTCTGCTTTCATAGATACCTAAACTAAGGCAGTTTGTCAAGAAATTTCTTGTCAAGAAACTTCTTGTCAAACTGGGGCACGTCCATGAAACAGCCATTAGGAGGGTGAGCAGTCCCTCAGTGCTATCATAAAAACAAGAAAATAGCTGAGGAAACTGGGGGAAGAGAAAACTTATGGAAATCATCACAGTCAGGTAGGAGGGGACCAGAGGCGACACTAACTGAGGTCCTTCCCGGTGGCTTACCAGATGGTACGCCCAGT